GAGGGGGCATCGGTCGGAATCAAACTGGCCCATTCTCCCGACGCCAAGGCAAAAGTGAGTCGGTGCAGTTGCAGACATTGTGGCCGTTTGAAAACGAAAACAAAAAAGAAGGAACAAGGCTTCGATAGTCACAGTGGCTGCCCCTTCAAAGCTCCCGACTTGCGGGCAGCTCTCCATTTGCATCGAAGGAAGCGATGGGCTCCCATCCAATCTCTTCTTCTCATCTCGCGCCCGTGCACGTTCCCGCGCCGCGTCTCCTCCGTTTCCTCCTCGCTGGCGTTTCTCACCCCGCCCTCGACACGCCTGTGTGTTGATGGGCTAACGCGAGGTCTTCTTTGCCTTGTGTGTGCCCCGCAGCCCATTAGCAACGCAGACTTCATCGTTCCGGTGGAGATCGATGGAACTGTTCATCAGGTACGCGCTCACGTGCACGAGAAACGCATTTTGTTGTTTTCCCGCCATGCGCTGAGACAAAGTACAGCAGACGCGTTTCTTCCAAGCGCATCCATGGATCAGCGCTTCAACTCGCAACTTGTCAGGGAGCGTGGATTGATTTCCTCATTTTGCTCGCTTCATGGACACCAACTCTTGATTTATTTATTTTTTCTTCTTCAAAATAGTCATGTTTGGTTCACTTTTTTAAAATTTGAACTTCTATTTTTTTTTTGGGGTCACTCTTCAATGAATCTTTTCCATTTTATTTGAACTTGAAATATGTGGTTTATTTTTCTTTATTTACAAATCATTGATATTGTTTATTTTTTGACTCTTTATTCTTTTATTTTGAAATTATTTTTCTCATTTTAAAAATGTGTTTATTTAATACAGTGTATTTTCATGATCTCATATTTTCATCTTAATCGGTTTTATTTTAGTCTTGCTAAGTTTCATGTATTTGCTCTCATGTGATTCTTTTACTTTTCATGGTATTTTAATCCATGTTTTAGTTTCCATTATTTGTAGTTGTTTACTATTGCTAATTTGATTTTTTTCCTCATTTCTGTGTTTTAAAATTCTTTTTTCCCCCCCAAAAATGAATTTTTTTGTCTTAATTTGATGTCTTCATCATGCAGGTTTCAAATTATTATAATTTTTTTCCATGTATTATTTGAGAACATTTTTAATTCACGTGCTATTATTGTGATTTTTGTTGTGCTATGTTTTGAAATTCAAGCGAACGGCTCACGAAGCAGCGTAGAATGAGAGGCGTCGTGAGGAGCGGCCGTCGACGCGCGGCTGCGACCTGGTTCAAGTAATCCAGGATAGGCTTTCTGCCTCAAACTCGGCCTCTTCTCGATTACTTGCGCTCGGGAGCAGCGGCTATTCGCCGGAGGACACCGGAAATGTCCCACATTGAGCAAATCCAGATCCGCATTCCCATTTATGGTGCGAAATGTGATGGGAGTTTAAAAAAATATATCTTATCTGTTTTTCAGGTGTATGTGCTGAAGAGGCCTCACGTGGACGAGTTTCTTCAGAGGATGGGGGAGCTGTTCGAATGTGTCCTCTTCACCGCCAGCTTAGCCAAGGTCAGCGCAACCAGTCGCCTCACAAAAAAACAGCTGGAAAAATGTTTTTTTGTTTTTTTTTTTTAATGCCTCAATCCTAAAACGGCCCATAGATACTCACTAGGACGGTAATATTGATGATGTTAGCGATATTTTGGCGGGATTTGAGGTCGACTGTTCTGTCGCGGGAGGGTTAAATTGGACATTTGGAAAATCCAGGAAAAAAAAAAAAATCAAGATTAAGGAACAACTTTAAAAATACTTTGCTACTCGTAATAATTTCAAATGCTTATGGTTCGCTATTTTTGGGAGGGGGGGTAATTGGACACTGCTGTACAAAATATTAGAAAATCTCGCTTCCACAATGTATTAAAATGAGTTAAAACTGCAATCTACAACATCCAATTTTGAATTAATTTTTTTGGAGGGGGGAGAGGGGGAATTTTAATCCTGAGTGTGGGGGGGGGAACGGTGCCATCTGGTGGACAAATGAGAGAAAAGCCTTCCATTAGAAAGCCAGAAAGTGAAGCGAGAAAGAGACGTGGCCCGAGTTCAGCCTTTTTCGGGACAGCGCTGAGCACAGTGGACGGCTTGCCATGTTGTCAGGTGCCAGGGCGCGCCGAAGGCCAAATCTCTGACTCGGGTGTGGCCTTTTTCCAGTACGCGGACCCCGTGGCCGACCTCCTGGACCGCCGGGGCGTGTTCCGCGCTCGTCTCTTCAGGGAATCCTGTGTGTTCCACAGAGGAAACTACGTCAAAGACCTCAGCCGGCTGGGCCGGGAACTCGCCAAGGTCATCATCGTGGACAACTCGCCCGCCTCCTACATCTTCCACCCCGAGAACGCCGTGAGTCGATCGCACGCGTCGAGCCATGGTGGGCCACAAGAGGCTTTCGATTTTCAGGGGCGCCCATTCCGATATTTGGCAGAGCCGCGCTCTCCTCACCATTCATTTCAATTCTCGAGAATGAATCAAAGAACTCCTTTTTGGGCTCGCTTAACGCGCCGAGGCAGAAGCTTGGACGGTTTTGCTTGTCTTTAGCAGTTGTTTAACTTTGTCTCCGTTTTACGTTGTAATCTGTTAATGTGTAAAAACAAACCCACAAAACCGTAACTAAAGATCGGCCCGAATAGTGACTTTGCGGCTAGACGGCGAGCGAACCAGTCAAGAAAACTCTGTACACGAGACTTACTTGAAGTTCTCTTGCCCTTCAAAGTCTTCCAAGGCTCCAGCGTGTGGAGACCACTCACCGTCCGTCGTCGAGGAGCTGTTCGGAACCAGCTTCGACGAAAACTTTTTTTACACAGGAGAAATACGTCAAAGATCTACTCTTGCCAAAAGATGCGCTTACATTAAGGCGAAACGATCCACAAAAAAAAAGAGCTCTTACTCTCACTTTTTTTTTTTTTAAACTCCCAAAGTTGTCACAGTTTTCACCATGACAGGCAATAATAAGCAGACTTATTGATGATCGAATATGAACGGCTTTCCCCTTTTTCAATGAACACATCAAACTCAGGAAATGTCGACTGTCGTGACCGATGGCGAATCACTGGGTCTTTTGTTGAGTTTTTTTGGGGGTCTGTCGCTCAGGTGCCGGTGCAGTCGTGGTTCGACGACATGGCTGACAAGGAGCTCCTGGAGCTGCTCCCCATCTTCGAGGGCCTCAGTCAAGAGGACGACGTTTACAGCCTCTTACAGAGCCTGAGGGACAGGTAGCAGGGTGCCCCACCTGCCCCGCCCCCCAACAAAAGACTCCCATGTCCATACTCCGTGTTTCTAAGGAGACGAAGAAGACGACGACATACTTAAAACAAGTACTTTTTCTATCAAATTCATATTTTAGTTACCGGGGGGGGAAAAAAAAAAGTCTTTTGGCGTGGGGAGGGGGGTTGTTTATTTTTCTCGTGCAAGATGTTCCTCGGTCTTCTCTTTCAGAATGAAGTGCCTTCATTGCTGTGCTGGTTTCCTCATGTTGGGTAGGGGGCGCACTCTATGACCCCAATACCTCCCTCATCCACCCGTCTCGCTCTACCCCCACAAAAACCATATAAACTAAGCGCTACTCTGAGTGATGGCCACACTATTTAACAAGAATTTGTGACCCTTTTTTTCTTTTGTAGTTGATGGATTGACTTAATGACGCGTTACTGCTTGGAGTGATTTTGATGAACATCAGCATCCACTGAGTCAATGTTGCCGAGACATGTATTGATTAGCCTAGATGATATCAAATTGTATTTATTGGGGTGGGGGGTTCAGCAAAAGGGTTCGGGTGCATAGTAATATATTGACAAGAACAAATGGAAATGGTACTGTACAACATGATTAAAGCTGCAAGTTTGCACACACTCACTTTGCGTCCTGCTGCGTGAGACTTTTTGAAAATGCCAACTTTCTTTCCATGATCAACTTCATCTCGGAACCTTCCAAGCCCATTGCCTTTATTTCTGTCATCATTTATTCTTTTTTTTTTTTTTTGAGGGGGGTGGGGGGTGCTTTTGCTACTACGACTTTCTTTTTGTCAAATTCCAACTTCTTGGAAAAGTACAACTTCATTCATGTCAGGTAAAGTTGTTTTTGTCTCGCTCCTATTTTTAGGATTGAGTAAAGAGTTGGGACTTTGGTTTTGTGAAATTGAAGAAACTGATTTCACCATGCAAGTTTTCCACTTTTCCCTCCAAAAAAATGCGAACATTGAAAATCAAGAAAGATTTTCTTTTTAATCAAATGAGAGAGAATATTTTCTTTTCCTGTCCTGACACCCGCAAATGTTTCTCCTAAAGTGGAGACTTTTTTTTGCTTGGGGGACAGAATGGATTCCTTTTTATTCATGCCCCTGGGGCTACGACCGCCCTCCCCGTCCACCCCTTTGCACGCCCCTGCCTGACTTGTAAAATGTATTTCTCTTCAATCCAGACAAGTTTGACTTCCACTCATGCACTTTGCTCTCAGAAATGTCACTTTGTTGTCATCAAATGATGACACCCCCCCCACCCCCCAACCCCTCTGTTGTCATTTTTGAAAGAAGCAGGACTTCTCAGGTGTGTTTTTTGCAAGGCTCTTTGCGCAATCCGTGATTATCCGCTAGCTTAAACTCCTCATGTGATATGCGAAGGGAACTTTTAGCTTTGGCTCTACTGAGCCCATTGTGGGATTTTTGTTGCCCCCCCCCCCCCCCCCCCCCCCCCCCCCCCCCGTGGTCTCGTGCAGGCTTTTCTCTTGTGCGCCAGACATGAAGTGAACGCACCTTCACCACGAGGACGGCATCCGGGAAGGACAAATCGGCAAAGCTGGTATGAAACACTTTTTTTTTTTTCTCCCCCCCCGAGCAAACGTGGTCGTTGTCACCTTCGGGACGTGCGCGAAATAAACGGCGTCAATTTTGCGGAGGCGCAACGACGGCACCGAAAGGCCGTCACGCGACTTGAATATGACACCCGATGGCCAATGGGGGGGGCAAATGTTCACTTTTGCGTGCCGAGTTATTTGGAGAGGCCGGTAAATGTTGCGCAAAGTTGGACGCTAATGATTTAACGTTGCGTTGCCATCCATGTCGATGCGCAGCGATTGTGATTCTCCTCGCTGCTTTTCTTCCATTGGAGCTCGCGTTTGCAGCCCCGTCCCGCGCGAGATCGGCAGGAAGGCAAATTGCAGGTGTGTTGCGGGAGTGGGCGTGGAAGCGAATCCGCTCCAGCTCCCTCCCGCACCCGCACGCGCACGCACGCACGTCGTGCCTCGCGCGCATCCACGAAGCCCTGCCAGCGATTGGCTTTTTCCAACGTGCGCAGGCAGCTTCGAAGACAACGAGGTCGCTTTTGCTTTGCTCCCGGTGCAAAGAATATACGGTAGGCTTTCCAAAAAGTCCAAATCTTTTCTGCCACTTGTATTGACGTTGACATTTTGGGGAGTACTTTTCAGTCCATTCGCGATTCTTCCGGCGAAAGACGACAGGCTCGTGTGGCTTCATTGAAGTGGAACCGGTTCGTCCTGTTGCACGAATATGGATTTAATTTATTTAGCGCCACCCCCCACCCCACACCCATGTGTTGAATGGCTTCAGTTTGCAATCCCAGCCGCTCTTTTGTGCGCGCTAACGGCGAAGGTCAACACCACTTGATGAGCGAACGGTTTCCATCCCGTTCCGCTGGGAAGGTCAACAGTCCACGATGGACTCGGGACTGTGGTTGGGAAGTCAAACAACAAAGTCACTTTGTTTTGTTTTTTCCCCGTCGTTAAATAAATTATTCGCTGGAATTTATTGTACGTCGACAGATTCGGTGTCTATGGACTGCACACACGCGCACCTATGCGGAGACACACGCGCATACGTACCGCTCCTACACATGCAAAGTGGAGAGGGGTGTTGGGAATTGTTGTGAGAATTTTTCTTCAAATACTCCAACAAATATAGAGACGTACTTTGTGTAAGTATACTACTGGAAATGTTCCCTTCATGTCAAACAGGGAAGGGAAGGGTGTGTCTGCTACTTATCAAGTCCAAAGTCTGTCCGTGCGCCAACAACGTTCTGGATGCAATGAGTAGTCTCTCCCCCTCCCCCTCCCCGTTGCAGCATCCCACATCTGCCACCGAGCTAAATCATTTCAGAACTTAGCCCGCGAACCGATTTCTTTTTTTTTTTCATGTGAAAAGAGGTGACCAAATGTTGCCGAGTCGGTGTCTGGTATTGAATTGGATTTCAGGCACACTATGTTCATATGGGGGGTGGAAAATAACATGCTGGCGTTGTAAAACTGTCAGGCGATCAAATCACTCCTTTTAGCCTTTGCTTTCGGCTGTGCCCCTTCTCGTTTCATTTCACTTGGTGCCGTTTTTTTTTTTGTTGTTTTGAATGCTCTGAGAAGACAGCGGTTCGCTGGGCTTCTCGCGGAGGCCCTTTTTTTGGGGGACACCGCCGCACCTCGCCCCCACTTCGATGGCCGCCTGACGCAACGTGCGCGACGAGGGCGCCCGCCCGCCTTTTCCGAGCTGCCGCATTTGCATTCCGACTTTGCCTTCCGCGAGTCGAGCGGTCATCGGCGGATGTTTGGTTGTTTGAACGCTATCGCTTGGCCTCATCTCCGCCATCTGTTGGCGCCGGGCAATCATCGGAGGAGGACGGAGGGCCGCCTGCCGCAACGTGCGCGACGGGGGCGCCCGCCCGCCTTTTCCGAGCTGCCGCATTTGCATTCCGACTTTGCCTTCCGCGAGTCGAGCGGTCATCGGCGGATGTTTGGTTGTTTGAACGCTATCGCTTGGCCTCATCTCCGCCATCTGTTGGCGCCGGGCAATCATCGGAGGAGGA